TGGTGGGAGGTGGTGCAGGCAGCTGGCTTCTCCTTCGTCGACATTTCACAGTTGCCAGCTGGGATGAAGATGACCCTCAAGGTAAGCAGGTGGCAGGGGGCTCAAGGCTGGGTTGCTGTGACTACAATTATTTATTGTTATTACTATTACTACTACTACGACGACTACTACTATTAATATTATCATTATTATTATTTTGTTATTGCTGTTATTTTCATCATTGTAATCATTGTTATTATTGTTATCATTATCATTATTGTGATTATCATTAGTTACTATTATCATTTCTGTTACTGTTATTATTATTATTATTATTATTATTATTATTATTTTTATTATTATTGTATTATTGTTGTTGTTGTTGTCGTTATCATTATTTCATCCTTATTATTATCGTTATTATTTTTGTTGTTATGATTTTTATCATTATCATTAATGAGGATAATTTTTATCATTATCATTATCAATATTGTAAGTATTATCAGTAGTAGTATTATCATCATTATTATCATTATTAATATCATCTATTTATTTTTTGCCTCTTTTATCATTTATCTCGCTGTTGACGGGTAGGGAATGCGGGCGGTGATACTGGAAATGGAAGAATTAATTTGATGGTTTAATGACATGCTACGGAATGGCGATGATAGACATGGATAACGATAATGTGTGTTCAGACACTTCAGTCACTTATCTATTCATAATGTGGATAGATAAGTGATAAGGAAACCAATAGGACAAATAAACTGGAAGGAAAAATACACTTTCTGTGATTTTCTGTCCAGAATAATTCTTTAATTAAGAAATCCAGTCATTAATTCCATGCTAAGAGTCGGCCCCAAATCCTTCCTCTAGGGTACGTCCAACCGGCGATCCTACGACCTCGTCCTGCCCAAGGAGAGGAGCGAGAACTTCGTAGGGCTGGAAGACGGGACATCGTACAAGTTTAGGCTCACTGTGGAAACCCCCCTCGGAAAGTATGGTCAGGCCGAGGTCATCCTCACGACCAACAACCCGCCGATTGCTGGGACGTTTGAGGTGAGGGTTCACTTGGGGTTCGCGGTGTTATGTATTGGGTTATTTAAGCGTGTATTACAGGACACACAATCAGGAGTTTTATATAGAAACACGGCAAAACTATAAGGACGTGACTTAAATACCTTCCTACAGGTGACGCCGAGCAGTGGAGAAGCTCTGGTGACTTACTTCCAGTTCAGCGTCGCCGGCTGGAACGACGTGCCTGAGGACCTTCCGCTCACTACGTCCTTCGGGTACCGATTGGGCGCCTCCGACAGCGTCACGTGGGCCTTCACCACCACCGACGAGGACCCCACGGCCGAACTCGTCCTCCCTGGAGGTACGAATGGGGAAGAGAGGGAAGGAGGGAGAGAAGGACAGAAAAAGAGGGGGAGGAGGGAGAGAAAGGAGATAGTAAAAGGATTAAGAGAGAGGACAAAGGGAAGATGAGAAGAAGAGGAATGGGGGGGGGGGAGAGCGGGAGAAGGCCGGAGATGAATATGAGTGTAACGAATCCACACATGGATCAGTTTAGGCATTCTGCCTATCATTATATGCATCCACATATACAAGAAAGCCTTCCTCCCGCAGATGGTACCACTACGCTGGTGACTCCTCTGGCCAAGGCATGCGATACCAACGGCGGCTGCACGATAGTCGAGGGCAGCGCCGTCACCGTCACCCTCACCGACGCCCTCTCCCTCGAGGCGTTCGGGTCAGTAACATTTTTCCTTTTTATATTCATGTGTCTGCCTGATTGTCTGTCTATAAATTCTCTACCTGTCTGTCTCTCTATGTCTGTTTTGTCTGTCTGTCTGTCTCTTTCTCTCTCTCCCACCAATAAACAAAATTTTCACTCACCCAACTTCTCACTATTTATCAATACATAATCTTTTCATACATAACCTCTCTCTCTCTCTCTCTTACACACACGCACACATATATATACTTCCCCCTCTTCTCTCTGCATCTCTCTCCACGTATAATCAGCTGGCCTCTTCCCTCCGCCCAGCGCCCTGAGCCAGCAGTTCACGAACGGTCTCGGCGAGGACGACACAAGCTCCGCGGCGCTGGACATCGGCCGGGGCGTCGTCCGCACGTTGGACGCCATGGGGTCCGACACGCAGAAGAGCACCTTCACGGTCCTGGCCGACTCTGGGATTCAAGAGAAGGTGGCCAATCTACTGAGCAGGTTAGGGGAGTTGTATTTACTTGTGGTCGATGAACAGTAATGTTAAGTATGGTTGTGGTCGGAATGGTATTGATGATTTTAGAGATGATGGTACTTGTAATGCATTTCTGTGGTAGTGATACTGCTACTACTGCTACGAATGATAATGAAAACGATAATGATAACCCTCATGAGCTGTTGGTCAGACCAGACATCATTCTAGAGAATGATATAAAGCAAGTCCACCTGAGACACTTCCCTTCCTATCTGACCTCCCTCCCCCGCCTCCTGCAGGAACGCGGACGCTCGCCGGGGCTCCTTCGACATGGTGAGCAGCATCCTGGACCTGGCCGAGGAGGCGGCACTCAACGGTGACACCATCAACGACATCCTGGCTCTGACGCGGCAGTTGATAGCTGACATCCTGCGGACTCCGGTGCGACTGGATGAGGACCTGGCATTCCAGTCCAAGGACCTGCTGGTGGTTGAGGCCCTGCCGACCGACGGCCGCGTCTACTACCCCGGCACGGACTCAGACTTGACGGCTGTCAGGTACAGACCCAACTCCAGGTTCAGCGAGTAGGTGCACCTTTCGCTTTCTTTTCTACTGTAAGGCAGCAGTAAGGAAAAGTGGCTTTCAGGCTGTGCATAAACGAAGTGCCGATCACTCTCTCTCTCTCCGACACAAACACACACACACACGCGCGCGCGCGCATACATACTGAAGCCACCTTGCATGAACTGAAATATTTGCATGGTTCATTCTCCATACGCTAAACTCAAACTGTATGGAGTATTTATATTCTTAAAAAAATAGCTACTTATCTATTCATAGTGAAGTAGAAAATGAGCAAAGGGTTACACACGTTGAAACTAATGCGGACGGTAGTTATCAACATAGCTCTATATTGATATTAACCCACTAAGATAAATTCACAGAAAAAAAACAAACAGGAGACAGTACCTTTCACTGAATTTCTTCAAACCTAACCCCAAACACCAAATCTCCACCATCACAGCACTCCATTACAAGAATCTCTTAGCCCGTTGCAGAGGGTTGCACTGGTGTCGTGCCATGGTATAGATTATCTTCCCTACGTCTGATCATATTTTAAAACATTACTCCAGCAAAGACAGCAATGCCTCTTGCACGTTGGAATGGAGCGACATCTGCATGGACATTCCTCCACAATTCCTCCACACTTTAACCATCCTGCAACCACATTAAATGAAACTAATAGCCCACGAATCCGAAATCCTATACCTAAAATAGGTAAACCACCACGGATGTAACTAAATTATTTTCGATTAATTGCAGGACTCAGGCTCTTCACAGAAAGGCCGACGGTAGTGGTCACAGGAGGCTAAAGAGACAAGCCATTAGCAACGAGACAGAACAACAGCCTCTCACAGTAGAGCAGGTGAGGCGGCGAGTGCGGGAAAGAGTCAGTGAGTGCAAAATAGGTGAAAAAAGAATTAGGGAATATTAGGAGGTGGTAATGAGGTTTAGGGATAAAAAAATGTAATAAGGTTGTGCTACTGATTATATATATATTTTAGTATACAAATGATATGCATATATCTGATGATAATAACAAAAAAGTTACCCTCTGCGTACAATAGAGAATACCTGTATATGTGTGTGTGTGTGTGTGTGTGCGTTTTACTGTTGTTAGATGTATTAATTTCAGTTTTGTTGTTGAAACAGGTGCTGACCGGGCTGAGGGTGACAGAGAAGGCGCTTGTCGAAGCTGACACTGAGGGCACCAAGACGGCCAGAATGGATGAACTGCTGAAGACTATTCCAGGGTAAGCGCAAACAGATTGATAGTGCGAGATAGATAGATATGTAGATAGATAATAGATAGACCATCATTAAATATATAAATAGATGAATAGATAGATAGATAAATAGATAAATAGATAAACAGAGAGACAGGCAGATAGACAAACGGATAGACAAATATATAGATTATATGATCATATAGAAAAACAGACAGACATACATACAGACAGACATATATGTACGTATATGTATATATGTGCACACACACACACACACACACACACACACACACACACACACACACACACACACACACACACACACACATATATATATATATTGACAGGCAGCGAGGCAGGGACACTAAATACCCTACCCCAACTGAAAGATAGAGAGAGAAAGAGAGAGAGAATGATATATAGATAGATAGTGGAAACCTGATTCTCCTTGGCAATGCCTCTCATTCCCTTCTCTGCTCCAGGTACCTTTCGGGCCTCTGCGTGGGCATGAGCAACCAGGACATCCCGAAGAACGTCCTGGGCACGCTGGTCGGGCTCACCGTGGTCAAGTCAGCACTTGTTAACGAGGCCGACACCAAGTTCGCCATTGCCGACAGCACAGTCAATAAGGATGACTTTTTGAAGAATGATAGTGATGTAAGTATAAAGGATAATTAAAGAAAATCATTGACTGTCTTTGTCAAACGTTTAATCTGTAGTTCTAATCTTCGTCTTTGCCTTATAAGCCCACTTGTTAGTGATAGGCTTGCATCGATCTCTTTCCCTTGAACGCAAAGTGCCAAACTCAGCCTTTCATTCAACTCCACCTCTAACCAGATCACGTGGGGCGTCCTCCTGGACTCGTACACGGAATGGAGCTGCGGCAGGAAGGGGGCCGAGGGCGAGGACCTGGCGTGCTACGGGGCGTGTCTTGGGACGGTGCAGTACAAGGACGACTTCCTCTCGCCGGTGTTTGGCGTCGATCCCCCGGGGGATTTTAGGTCTGTTTAGTCGCCTGTGAATTAAT